AAAAACAAAAATAAGTAAACACATAAACAAAAGAAGTAAATACAGATTATGAAATATTATTTTGGTAATAATAATATAGGGAGGCAAAATAAAAGTAGATATAAAAAGACAAAACTATGTATTGGAAGATGACGAAAAAATGTTTAGTTTGTTTTGGTAATCTATTATATAGAGAGGCGAAATAAAAGTAGATGTAAAAAGACAAAACTATGTATCGGAAGATGACGAAATAAATGTTTAGTGAAAATGTATTCGAAAAGAATTTGACTATATTTCAGAAAGATATATGCATAAGACTAACATAAAATCTTTTAGACCGCATTCACTATTTGAAATCAATTAGTTTCCATAAAATACATGACATGTCTTATTGGACCGAGTAATCATGTTTAAAGTCGAGCTAATTCGTTTCACCATGTAATTACTATATGTGAAATAGGATAAGGACATTCATGACTGGATCAAACATTATCTTATTGGAATCTTTACTTGATTTTATGGATAAAGCATCCTCAAACTCATTGTAGCATCATTAGTATTTCGTTTATACCTTTGAAATAAATTATATATAGTTTATATTTGACACATTCACATTTAATGTGGGTTGCGTTACTATTGAGTCAATGGTCAATATTAAAGTTTCCTAGAAGATGTCCTTATAGTACCTTAATCTAAAAAAAAATTTCTCAGAGATAAAGAATCATGAGATACCAAAGTTGTTTCCTCTTCCCACAATGTTTCTAATTTACTTTGGTTACCACATGACACTTAGCAATTTATTGCATTTCAAAAAAAAAAAATTTCACAATATATATGTTATATATCGCTTGATAAAAAAATATATATACAAGGATGTATATAAATCTTTTTGTTTAAAATGATTATATTGATATTCAATAATTTGTACTGTTAGTAGTATAAAATTAAAATTAAAAAATATGGAGTTCTTTCTCCATCAAAAGTGTCCACATAGACAAAAATATATTTTTTTAACATTTAAGTTTTAAAATGGCCATTTACTACACACTAAATCATATTTATTGTTTTTATAACTAATAAAATACTAAATTAGATTAAAACGTGAAAGACT